TTATGCAAGTATAGGGAAGTTTTTTTTTTTCAAATCTAGAAGTCAAAGCGGTCATTGGAGAAAAGTACTTTTGTTGCTTTGAGTTATGAGAAATGTCTTAACTCCTTTCTATTTTAGAACGTTCTCTTTCCGTTTAGGAAATTTAGTCCTTAAAACACGTCCAAATAAATTAGGCAAACATGTCAAAAGTTTATCTAAGTCATTTCAAAAGATTTTAAAAGGTTTTGAAAGGTTTTAAAAGGTTTAAAAGGTAAACGCTATTTTTTGGGTTATAAAATTTGTAGAAGTTCATACAATTTAAGACATGTCGAATTCATAGTTACCTCATTTTCCTTTCTGTCAACGATCTGCAACTGCTCCATCAGCGTGTCCTTCCAGCTTTCCATTCCAAAGAACTCGGCTTCACGCTAGAATTCCTTTTTTCTTCAAGTATATTTCTCAAATACTTAATGAGGCAGTACTACCCTTAAAACAGCTACCATTTTTTATTTTTACAATCTTCATCACTCTTTAATCTGTGGAATACATAAGATGACCTTCAAACATTATTGCAAGTCAGCAAAACACATGTAAGATTTGGAGATCAGCGAGTAAAGATATTTAGGAAATGTTAGAATAACAATGAAAGTTATGAAAAGTCTTTCATTCACATAAGCACATCCTCATTCTATCTATTCTGGTTCATTTTACCCCTATGTGAAAGTGAACTATGAATTCAAAACTTATGATATAAAAACGTTCTTTTTGACGCTACTTCATTTGATATTATGGCTAATTATTGATGAAGGGACAGCACAATTCTAAAAATTAAATAGTAAAAAATATTGTTCAACGATAGAGTCCTACATAGTTGAACAAATCTTGCATTTGAAATAGCTTTTTTAGAAGACTTTATTCACTACTCTTCCTAAACTTAGCTCACCTAAAAATGGCCTACATATACTGTAAGGGGAGGGAGGAGAGAGGTTTTTAAAAAATTCGGCTGAACACGAAAAATTCAGTTTTTAGAAACATTACTCTAAACTTTTCATTTTCCTGATATGATGAAATGAAATGTTCATTTGCAAATTTCAACTGCGAGTAAAGTTTTTCTTTTTTTTTTGTTCAAACTCAAATTGAAAGTATGAAAAATAGCGAAATGGCAAAATAATCCTTAATTCTAGAATAAACTTTGGAAAACTATAAAAATTACATATCTCTACCTTTTTTTCAAAAAAAAAACCACTCACAATGAGCTGCTTAAGAAGGCACTTATTCTCTGGCAAAGCAGCTCGCCTACCATCTCTCATAAACTGAAGTACATACGCGAAGAGATCACCATCACGATTAATGAAGATTGCTCCTTCCTTATCTACCTGAATATACCGTTGCCAAATTTCCAACATTTAATCTCCCAATGCAACTTACAAGACAGCTCCTCAAAAATAGCAGAACTCTGCCTGAATTTCTGTCAATTCTCATGATACTATTGAAATAGGAACTTTTCGATCGTACCAATGTTTCAAAGTTGGTAATGTACCTGTGAAACAAGTTATACCAGAGAACAACAAATGATTGTTAAACAATATCACCTACTTCTTTCCTCCAACATTCAGGTAAGCGAGTTCTGTGGCATGCTTAGCACTTGCTTCTTCCATATTCTGTAAAATCTTACATTTTGAAATATTCAATATGAATATAGGCAAAGATGAGCCAGAGACCGTTATAGATTTCCAAAAGCAACCTGACGAGCTCGTTTTCCTGAAAGAATTCCGAAAATTTGAGAGCAGTTTCGTCTGATAGTATCAATTTTCCCCACTTTGGAGAATTTTTGCCAAAAACTCAATGTTTTATATTCTTTGAAACGTCATGTTTTGAAAAAAGTCGTTGTTTCAATACCTTAATATATAATAGAACCAATAGCTTCTGCAAAATGCTCTTCCAAACATTGTCTTAATAGAGGTTAAAACTTTACTTGGCATTTCTCCTATAAAGGAGAAGAAAATAGAAAATTCAAACAGTTTCATCTCTCAAAAGCATCTATGACAAAAGGATGGAAAGTCTTGATCTCAAAGTAATATTTGTAAAGATCAGCTTTTTTTTAAAAACCTACGTATGGGAGCAAAGCAAACCTCTTTTCTTGCCGCCATAAGATGCAATTTTTACTTCTTTTATTGCCTTTTCATCATGGCACTTATTTTTTGCCAAGTGTACTACAAAGAATGACAAACTTTGAGGAAATTGGAGAAACATTCCCAAAAACGTACTTGTACTTTGATTTCTTTTCGTACGATGATAACATATAAGCCGAATCAGCCAAGATCAGATTTTTATCTAATTGACCCAATGATATCTTGTTCTTTGGAAGAAACAATTAGAGCAAATATTTGATTTTTCGTTTAGACTAGAATCGCTCTTTGCCCCAATTGGCTGGCTTCATTGTAACAATCCAATTATAGAGTTGAAAATTGCAGAAACCGCAAACTTCCTGAATCGAAGTTTAATAAGACAAAAAACTTCCAATTTCTTTCCAAGGTTAACGCCCAACCATAACTTCACAAACACCCTCCAGCATTTTCAATAAATTAGGGCAAAGCATTACCCAACAATTAGTTCAAAAAATTATTTAAGATTTAATTCCCTCATTCCTTA